GCAGCATCAACAGCATCAACAACTACTACTACCACTACTACTACTGCTGCCACTACTACTACTACTACGACTACTACTACTGCTACTACTACTACTACTACTACTACTACTACTACTACTCACTACTCCTGCGACGACTACGACGACGACTACTACTACGACGGCTACCACTGCTACTACTACCACCACTACTACTACCACCACCACCACCACCACCACGACTACTACTACCACTGCTACTGCTACTGCTGCAATCACACTGCGACGTCGACTAGGTCGCTGGTAATCATGTTGTTGCTGTTTCCCAACGCCTCTATACCGGCAAACTGAATCCTTAACTGATTGCAGTCCAGCAAACAATGGTTTTGCACCGAGGAGAGAACATGGTCCGTACGATTGCGATGGATGGAACTGATGGCTTGACACGTGGGCAGAAAGCCTGAAGCTTAGGTTGAGAGCGGCCGTGGCTTTGATGTTTGTGTGTCTGTGTGGGTGCGTGGGGGACAGGGTCCGGCTCAAGCAGATTGTGCGCTGTATGGCTCTGTCAAGGTCATTGACACCGGCGCCCCCATTACCGTGCCCGTGGGTGAGCAGACGTATCAGCCTCAGCTGTTAATGCTAAAGTCTTCTCAGGTATAGAAACAGAGCTTGAGGGTATTTTTTCGAGCAACGGCACCAAAGCCCGAGCCGAAAAGCCCGGAAGCCCCAATTCGTCACCAAGGCTGGGCCGTATCATTAACATCATCGGCGAGCCGATCGATGAGCTTGGTCCCATTGATACCAAGAAGCCTCAAGCTCAGAACTGTCCCTTTTTCGGGGTTCGGGCCGCAGGGTGTAGGGTTTTAGATTCATCTTGCAAGGCCCCTCTCTTTCCATGGTCTGAGAGGCAACTGGAAGATGCTTTAACCTGAGATGCCTTGCCCGAAACAATGCTTAGTGTTTAGGGTCAGGCTTGGGCACCAGCGAAATAGCAGTCACGGGCGCCAAATGAGGTGCAGCCGACAGAGTCTTTGAATCTCATCAGTGCCAATAAACAGCCTGGTGTTCAATCTTTGCACATGGAACTCAAGCATCCCAAAGCCCGAGACCCCCAAAAAGCAGCCCCCCACCAAGCCTTCAGTCCAAGCCCTAAACCCAGGTTCCCCAGTTTCGCGCAGTTCCGTGAGCCCTCCCTTTTTTTGCAATCTCTTGCCATCTTCCAGGTTCTATGCCATCCATCGCCCAACTCCAACCTTCACTGAGATGAACACCACAGCGCAGCAGCTTCTCACAGGGATCAAGGCCGACGGAGGGGGTTTGGGTGAATCTGTGCGTTTTTTGGATGTGTGAGGTTGCGGCAGGCGGTTCAGAAGTTTCGGGAGCCGTTGTAAACTACAGCTAGCAGTGGGGGCATTGATGGTCTGCATGCAGCTCTTCCACTTACAGCAAGTGTAAAACGGATTTTGCAGCCATCCTTGTTCTGTGCGAGTTGCTTGTTGTAGTGCTTCGCTCGATGTTCTTGTTGCACGTCGTTCTTGCTCCCAACTTTGAGTCCTATCATCATGTTGATAATGGTTAGGCTCTACAGTCCGCGAGCCTGCAACAGTATTTCTTTTCATTTCGGCCAGTACAGCTGTATAGCAGGCCACATCGGGTTAGGAGAAGAGCAGTCGCAGAGGCATAACCCCACAAGAAGCAGGATTGCACTGCGGCTGCGACCTTCGTCCATCCCATTCCAAACCTTTACCCTCAGTGGCATTGCTTTTGCGGGCTTTGAAAGACGGAGGTTGTGCGATGCGCGAGAGAAGACACTGCGAATGTTGCTTTGTTTTTGGCCTCGTGTGCATGCTCGACAGCAGTTGCTGGGTGTTGCATCTGGCGCTCACGCAATGCACGCCATTGGTTTGCAATGCTCGTGAGATGGAGATGATTTTTGGGTTGCACTCGTTGATTGCCTGTCTCTTGTTCTGCCTGCACCCTCTGTTGCACTGCTGTTTGAGACATTCTCCAATATGCCACGTTTCGTGCTACCCGTAGTGAGGATTACGACGCTCATGTTGCAAGATGCAGCCTTCAACAAATGTTATGTTCGGTTTTCGTGCGTTGCTGCTAAGATTTTGCCGCCAGGACCGTCGATGGTTGTCGTTCGTGAAGCCACATCCTGCTTCGGAAAAACTGGTCTGCAGGCGACATGCAAGTGTGCAAAAACTCGAGCCTTTATGCCAGGTGGTGGACCTGCTGGCGCCGTACGCCAAGGCCCAGCAACACGCAGTCTTGGGGAGGGCAGGTCTTGAAAGTGTAGAGCCTAGAGTCTAGAGCACCGGTTTTGCGCAGAAGCAGCTTAGATCCCTGGAGGCTGATGTTAAATAAATCTGATACTGGTGATCACTGTACTGTGATGGATGATGTCGCTGTTGTGCTGCTGTTGATACGGACATTGATGTTGACGGGAGCCCTGCAGATGAGGATTATGATGGCGATGGTGATGATGATGATGATGATGATGGTGCTGATATGGCTGGCTATCATGATGCATTCGTGAGGAACAGCGATCGGTACTCTGGATGCTAGCTACCATGGCCCTAGGCTACAACTCTTGCCCTTGGCTGAGGGTGGTAAGATCGGCCTCTTCGGCGGCGCCGGGGTCGGAAAGACGGCCCGCATCCTCGGTCGGTGTAATCGGATGCACCGGGAGGGCCGACATGCTCTGTAAGTTCTTTGCATTTCACACAGCTGCGCTTCTTCGCAGTTTGTCTGGATGTGCCGTGGAGTTTCTGTGCTTTCAATATGTGCATGCCTTACTTGCACCACTCCTGAGGTGGTGATCATGGAGCTGATTCACAACATTGCCTTGCACTCAAACGTGCACGATCCACTAGGAGCGTCGTTCCCCGGACTCTGCTCGTTGTGTTGTGCTTTGTTGGCCGAAGGAACTTCCGAATCTTCAGCTTGATCACAGTGTTTTCGGGGGCAGCTCTGGAAAGAAAGGATACCTCTAAAAGGGATCAAAAAGGCTTCAAGCTAGGCATAATGAGGACACCCTTTTATTAACTTTAACCACCCATGGCCCGGGCCTCATGCTGAAACATCTGAAGAGTCTGCCTGCAAAAACACGGTCCGCGGACTGGAACGATGCAGTAGCTCGGTCGAGGTCACAGGCTTCCAAAGAGGATGGGTGCAAATAGGTGTACACATGAGAGGACTCTAGTGACTCTAGTGCAGACAGAGTTAGGTGTGAGGCCCTGGTGCAGCCTGCACATGCTGCAGGCTCTGAAGCACGGCGGTTACAGCGTCTTCGCGGGTGTAGGCCCCTGGCCCCTGCCTGCTCTGTCTTTCTTCAGTTTGAGAGTTGGAAGACCGACCTGAAGCTTCGGGCCCAAAACAAAATTCAAGATGACCCGTCCCATGTATACCCGAAAGCTGCAGCACGCTAGCAGGTAACAGTTCTTAGCAGCTTTCGGGTGGCATGTCGTGACCTTGCCAAAGACGCTGCTCGCGACTCCGTCCTGCGCGATCCTGATTCGTCTGGCCTCAGCTTTCACCCAAAAAAGAAAGGCGGTAGAGCCCCTGCCATGACAGCAGGCCAGCGGATGAAATTTCGAACCACCTGTAACCTGCTGCTTTCTTCCCCTTGCGCCCGGCAGCTGACTGTCCTTCGCCCGGATTCGTGTCAGCCACTCCCAAAGCTCTTTTGCTTGGTTTCCGTTCGAGTCTGAAGCAGGAGTGCTCCCTGCCCAAACGCGTTCGGGCCAGGTGAGCGCACACGTGAGGGCAATGACCTGTACCACGAGATGATGGCCAGTGGAGTGCCTTGTCATTCCACGCAGGTTGAGGCTTGCGGCGGTTTGAGTCGCAGGTAATTCTGGGGTTGCACTTGGGGTTTGTCTTGTAAGACTTCCACAAACAAACCTAAGACGGATGCTCAAGATGGCAAGCATGTTTGAAGCCGTCTCATGCTGACATCTGAGAGGCCCAACCAAATCTGCAAGTTCTGCAATTCTACATGCTGGAAACTGGAGAGACCAAGAGCCCTGTTTGTTTTTAGGTGGTCGTTTACACGCAACTTCCGCTGCCACGTGGGATGCCCCTAAACCGCAAATCCTGAATCCCAAATCTCATAACCAAGGTTCGGGTTCAATTCCTTTCGTCGCTCATCCCTGAAACCATAGCCCAAGCCCTCACACAGTGTTCCCTCCAACGGAAGCCACGAAGAAAGCAGAGCACACCGAGGTGATCAAGAAGGACAAGGCCCCAGGATCCAAGGCCACCGGAGCCAAGGGTACGGAGTTCGATCCCGGAGCTAGGGTTAAGGGTCTATAGGGTCTAAGCAGCTTTCGGAACTCGTCTTCTGCTTCGTCACCCGCACCTTTGGCTCATGAATCATCTTCAGCTGCATGACGATTTTCGTATTCCGTTGTCGGTTTCACCATGGCAGGGAAGCTTCTTTCGCTTGCGCTGGTGTTTTCCTCGTCTTCGGCGCAGCCACATCTAGTCCAGTTTATGGACCGTCGAGCTATAATGTGGTTTCGGATGTCGGTGAAGTGAGCCTCAATCGCGCTTCAAAGCAAAAAATGCAGGATTTTTTGGGTCAGTGCTTCCGCTCAGCTTTTCTGTCCGATGCAGAGCATCTTGCAAGCTGCCCAGTATGGGCTTGTTTTGGAGTGCTTTCATGGGTTCTTCTATTTCCGCTACTCGTAGGGTGGCGCCAGGCTGCGCTGGTGTACGGCCAGATGAACGAGCCGCCTGGAGCGCGTGCACGGGTGCTTCGGCGAGACGGCTTAGGGGGGCTTAGGATATGGGTGTCGTGGGATACTTGCTGCACTTGGAGTCGCGATTCCGGTTCGATAAAACTCTGGCGGGTCTCTGTGTGAAGGCGGCCACAAGATCTATAATTACTGGTTTCGGATGTGTTGGGTTGAGGTTTCGAGGATCGCTTTGTGTTTGTGCCGGGTTGGGGTTCGGGACATTTTATTGATTGCTGTCACTCCTACTCCTACTGGTCCCATGGTTCGTTGGTGTGATTATGTCCATGACAGCTCTTGACCGCAGGTGGCCCTTACCGGCCTCACCGTGGCGGAGTATTTCCGAGACGAAGAGGGTCAGGACTCCCACTAGGATACGGTTGCAGTCGGCTCCGTTGCTTAGGCCTCAAAGTCTCAGGGCATGGGGTTATTAAGGAAGTGTACGGATGTGTACGGATCAGGGGAAAGAGGCGTGGCATTCACGTGCAAGTCCGAATCCAGAAGGAAGTCCTGATCGGAAAGACCAAGCCTTGACAAAGGTCTCAACAAGAATGTCAAGGAATGTAAAAGGTTTTTAGTAAAAACCCCGCATCAGATGCCTCGGCTGAACTCCGAAGCCTCAACCTTAACCCTAAAAAGCAGAACCACCCTAACCCACCAAAAAAACAATGAAGCCTACATGACGTGCACTGAACGGCCTGTGATCCCCGATCCAAACCCTCAAAGCCCTACACTACCTATGGGCTGTCAAAGGATGTGCTGCTCTTCGTGGACAACATCTTCCGCTTCAC